ACCTAAATATATATATATATATATATATATATATATATATATATATATATGTGTGTGTGTGTTTGTGTCTAAATTGTTGGAAAAAGTGATTGTTAAATTGTGTAAATCTGGATTTTAAATTTTATTTAAAGAATTATTATAAAAAAAAAAAATTTTTTTAGTGCTTAGTCATAAATATTATTTAAAAAATTAAAAAATTTATTTATTTTTTTTAAAATACCTTAAAGTTCTTCAAAAATTTTAAAAACAAATAAATTTATTTTTAAAACTTCAAAATTTTTTTTAATTTGAAAAATTTCCATAAAAAATTTAACCCCATGGAAAAGATTGGTTTTAATTCAAATAATTATATTGAAGTTTTCGCGCTTTTCAATGTAACATAACGATGTAGCGATGAATCATATTTTTAAATAAATAATTATATATATATATATATATATATATATATATATATTATTAACATGCCCTTTGATAGTTGAGGTTTTTTTTTTTTCCCTCTCAAAAGCAATTGCGTTTAATTTTAAATCATTTCACCGAAAACAAAGAATAAAGTTTAAATAGAAAGTGTGAAGAAATATGAGAAATAGAAAATTTTTAAAAAAATATTTACGTTAAAAATGAACAGAATTAAAAAAGGAAAAGATAACGGTTGATTTTATTTAAATATATATTTCTTGTTTTGGTTCAATTCTTATTATTTACCTGAAAATTTAATATTTTTTTATCGCTTTAAATGAAAAGTATATATTCTCTAAAAATTATACCCTTAAAAAAATCAATGTCTGAAAAAAAAGTTTTCAAAAAAAAGAAATTAATGACTTTGGTCATGACCTTATTTTCCCACTTTTATATATTTATGTTTTTCTAACTCTAAATTATTAAGCATATTATCCATAGAAATAGCATACCTAAAACTATTTTATCCCATAAATTTATTTCATATTGAAATCTCTGGGACTATCTATATGTTTTTTTAAACTTATATATTACGGCTAATAATAACAAGACTCTTCGGTGAATCGAATCGAGTTCTCTCATATTAAATCCTGTTTATTTGTATAAAATTTTTGATTAAATTTACCTTCATCCTTAAATAGATAGTGGTAGAATCCGGGACCGACGCCGATTCATTTTGTAAACAAAAATCCTAGCTAAATATTTAACCGGACGTTTATGTTAGAATTGATTGTGATATAGCTCAAAAACAGTTCGTCTATGGGTGACAATATATATAATATATATATATATATATATTCATATATATATATATATATAAATATATATATACAAAATTTAGTCATCCACAGACAGACATTATCGCAGGTGCTCAACAAAAAAATATTATTGGATCAATTCAACTGTGACTTTAAACCCGATTGATTAGGCATTATCATGGAATTCTAAATTTATAGTCTATCGACTACTTTACATCGATATTAATTTATATATATATTATATTAATATATATACTAGCAGCATGGCCTGGCGTTGCCTGTGCTTGATTCAAAAATTCAAAACGACTCATACAGCAATCACTATCACTTGACTTAAAATATTTTTTGCCCTTCCTTGCCTTTTAAAAGAGTGCCCTTTGCCGTGCTGATGTTGCTACATGCCTTTACTTCTTGCCTATCTCACACTGCGAATTTTTTTTTGAAGCTCTATACTAAACATTAAATCTGTTACGAAAAAAGAACTAAACAAAATGAACACAAAACGATCAGCTTTAAAAAGGACTCGTAACTGGAAAAACCGAATGAAAAAAGAATGTTAACAACAAATACTTTTCACACCCAACCCAGTTCTGCGGAATCAGAATCAACGTTGAGTTTAAGCAAGCGAATGAGCCAATTGGAGTAAAGTGCCATGCAGATTTAAATTTTTCCCACTTGTGACGAATGCAGCTATCGATTTTTTTTTTTATGCTAGTTAACATTCGTGTCAGTCAGCTGTTGGCTCTCATGCTGGCCAATAGAATCTTCCTGTCTATTCGTGGCAGCCAGCTATTGGCTCTCCTCTGGCTAGTAGAAAATGGCCGCAAACTACATGAAAACTGCCGTAGAAGCATGAAAAATCGATTATTTCCACTATCGTTGGGGTTGGGAAATTTTTTCACCGGATTGGCCTTTAATATAACTTGGAGCATGTGCATGTTCAATTTTGGTGCAAATCGAAAATTGCAGTTGAATTTAGTTATTCATTGCATGCACACACACACACACACACACACACACACACACACACATCTCTGACATCCTGCCTTTTATAGATAGATTATATTTGTGACATAATTAATAATATTCTATTAAATTTTAAACAATATTCATTCAAAGAATAAATCAATAAATTTAATCTAATTAAAATTCGTTTCACTTTTAACATATTAAATAAGACAACTGAAACAAACCACTCGCTGAACGATATTTTGATTACTAAACATTACTATAATATTTAAAAATCGAGCGTCGCATTGCTGCTCAAAAAAAATTTTAACTATTAATAATAGCCCATTTTAAAAAATTTTGCATCTTTCAACAAGTTATCACATTCAATTTGGAAATGAATTTTAACCAAATTACCTGAAATTGAGAAAAAATAATATCTCTGCATGAAGATGGTGAATGTTTACCATAATAATGTTCGGTGAAAGTGAAAGTGAATTAATGCTTTATTTAATCTGATTGAGGAAAGTGAAAAAAAAAAGGAACATTAAAAGACAAATTACATTAATTTGTTGATTTATTCTTTTGAATGACTAGTTTACTATATATATATATATATATATATATATATATATATATATATGTGAATATGTGTGTGTGATGTATATATAGAAAATAGGAAGGAACTGGTTAGGTAAAAATCCAAAATCCCTTAGTATTTTAGTTATTATTTTTTAAAAAATATTGCTCGATATTCAAGTAGAGCATAAATATAATTATTTATTTGTTTATGATTTAAAATATTTATTCCTTAAATAGATAAAAACTTCTCAAAAA